CTCTAAAAAACAAAGGAGTACAACTCATTCTCGATGCAGTAGTAGATCTACTACCATCACCACTGGATATCCCTAAACCAAAAGGAATTAACCCTGATACAGGTGCAGAGGTTACTCGTGAAGTAGATGATAATGAAAAATTCGCATCTCTCGCGTTTAAGATTGCAACTGATCCATTCGTAGGACAGCTCGTATTCTTCCGTGTGTATTCTGGATCACTTGAGGCTGGATCATATGTACTCAATACTCGTACTGGTAACAAAGAGCGCGTAGGACGTATCCTCCGTATGCATGCAAACGACCGTGAAGAAGTAAAAAAAGTATTCGCAGGAGACATTGCTGCACTCGTAGGTATCAAGGATATTAAAACCTCAGATACACTATGTAATGTTGATGGTGATACTATTGTACTCGATGAGATTAAAATTCCAGAACCAGTAATCAGTCTAAAAATCGAACCTAAAACAAAAGCCGACCAAGAAAAAATGGGTATGGCCCTCAACCGTCTTGCTGATGAAGACCCAACATTCCGTATTGCATCTGATCCTGAAACAGGAGATACCGTAATCTGGGGGATGGGGGAACTTCACCTGGAGATCATCGTGGATCGTATGAAACGTGAGTTTAACGTAGAAGCGAACACAGGTCGTCCACAGGTAGCCTACAAAGAAACCATCTCAACTACTGCTGATGTTGAACACAAATATGTTAAACAGTCAGGAGGTAAAGGACAGTACGGACATGTTAAATTCCGTGTATCACCACTGGATTACAGTGTACCAGTAGAAGATTTACCAAAAAACACTAAACGTGTTGATGGTATGGAATTCATTAACAATATCAAGGGAGGAGTTATTCCAAACGAATACATCCCAGCTGTTGAAAAAGGAGTTCGCGAAGCAATGCAACGTGGAGTACTCGCTGGATACCCAATGGTAGACCTGCAAGTAGATCTCTACGATGGTTCATACCATGACGTGGATTCATCTGAAATTGCCTTTAAACTCGCAGCTATGTATGCCTTGAAAGAAGCAGCAGAAAAAGCTCGTCCAGTAATCCTGGAACCAATGATGCGTGTGGAAATCACCGTACCAGAAAAATTCCTTGGAGATATTACTGGAAATGTTTCATCTAAGCGTGGACAAATCGAAGGAGTAGATGATCGCGAAATGGTTAAAACTATTCGTTGTATTATCCCACTATCAGAAATGTTCGGATACATGAGTAGTCTACGTAGTATGACTGAAGGACGCGGTATGTTCTCAATGGAATTTGCTCGTTACGATGTTGTGCCACAGAACGTAGCTGATGATATCATTAAAGCTCGTAAATAGTTTTTAAATTATTTTATAAAACAAAAATCCCGTAAGGGATTTTTGTTTTAACACTTGCAAATTTTTC